CTCCGCCTCCCTCCCCGCCCCCTGGCCCGGCACCGCCGCTGGAGAACTTCAGCGAGTTCCAGATGGAAGGCGTCTCCGAGGACAGCAACGCCATCTACGTCGAGCTCGCGGCCTGAAGACCGCGCAGAACGCCTGGGCCTTGGAGGTCAAGCTGACCCACCAGCACTTCCCCTCCGGACGGTGTCCGTAGAGCTGGTGAGGAGGGGCAGTGGCTGCAGCGGGGCCGCAGGGCAGGTGCCCCTGTGACCTGCACACTGTGCGTGCGATGGCTCCGTGGGAACGGAGAACCCCCACTCGGCGTGGCCGGCGGGCTTCCTCCGCCCCTCAGGTCCGCTGGTTCCTCGCAGGTGTCTGTGTCGAGCAGCAGCCGCAGCATGTGACCCACGACATCCCGTGAAGGTCACTCCCAGGAGGCCGTGGAGGAACCTGCAGGAGCCACAGTCCCAGACGCTGATGTGAGTGATGGCAGCCCCGTCGCTCCCACGTGCCCAGTGGCGTCATTAACTCCCGATGTCAGCACGGCTTTGCGTCTGCTTGTTGGAAAGCATGCTCCTTTCTGAAGGCTGCTCCAGGAGGAACGGGCCTGTGCCGGGCTGTTCCCGTAAAGACCCTCAGTCAGCACGCCTGTGGCAGGAACCGGTGGAGAGGGAGTGTCCGCCCAGGGACGGCCGTGCAGCTAGACTGCCCTGGAAGCCCTTCGCGTTCGTGCCGGGTGGTGGCCTCGGGCACCGGTGTGGGTCACAGAGGGACGCTGCCATGTCGGTGAGGAGCGATGTCCGGCGGTGACAGCCAGCAGGGAGGCCCTTCCGCTCTGCTGACTGGTCCCGGGGCAGGGACTGTGGTGATGCTCAGGCTCCTCTGCCTCCTGCTCACACTGATGGAAGGAGGAGGATGGAGAGGGAATTCTAGGGGGGCCCCTCCGGGGAAGCAGCAGGGCACCAGGCGCAGTGGGAACCGTCTGACGCCGGTGCAGGCACTTCCCCTCCTTGCGTTTTTGGGTGGAAAGGCCTGAGTCTTGGGCATCCCTCAGGACCGCCGTGTCCCTGGTGCATGAAGGCCTCTAGCCGAAGGCGGGTCCTGGGACCAGAAGTGCCACAGGGACCGGTTGCCGAGGTAACCAGAGGCAGGAGTGAGCTAGTGAAACTCTGATAGTTTTTATTTTCATATTTTAAAAAGAACTTTATTCAGACAGTTTAAAAACCCAGGATTCTGGAGCTTTTAAGCTTCCACGGATTCCAAACCTAGGTAGTGAGCGGGCACCTGCCAGCACTTGCTATACTGACATTCTCATGCTCTGGTTTTCTCGTTGGGCTTGTAGGTGAGCATTTATCTGCCGGTCTTGAAGACGATGAAGAGCGTTGTGGAAAAAATGAAAAATATCAGCAATCAGCTTGTAAGTCACAACTTCTTTAGCAAAGAGCTCTGAAGCGTTTGCTGTGGGCTGCACGCCTGCCCGAGGTGTGGGTGCCCTGGCACTCAGCGTGCGGGGTCCCCTCATTGCCGGTGGTTGAGAGCTACAGCTTCCCAGGCGCCTGGGGAACCCGTCCGGGTGCTCTCCAGGGGCTCCCTGGGGAGATTGTTCACATTGGCCTCCTGCCTGTGTTTATACTCACAGTAGATTCAGCACGTTCAGCCGCTCTGGCTTCCCTCCCTTACGCTCGGAAAGACATTGCAC